AGAGGCTGGGGTACTGAGCGGGGGAAGGAAGGCCAGGCCCCCTCCTCACTGCGGCCCCACCTTTCAGGGAGCTTATGCAGGCTGGGGCTGCCATCTTTAAAATGGGACTGAAATTCTTAGGACCAGGACCCGGACCGCTCCGGCACACTGCGGGTTCCGAAAGCACGTGCCTGGTGTGCGAAGCAGCCTTTCCTGGGGATTGGGAACGCAGGCATTTTCCAGGACCCGGAGGCCCAGGGCAACTGAAGTTTTTCTCTGGCAGACTATAGAACTTGCCCTCAAGGTTAGAGGGGAACCTGGACACACACCCCCACCCCCCAATTCTAGCCTGGCGTCTCCCTCTGCCGACCCAGGGTGCAGTGGTCTTCCACGTGGTGTTCCTGACCGCGGGAGCACCTCTGCTCCTGCCCGGCGTCCTAGCACTGGGGGGAGGGGGATAACGGCGGGAGAGCGCGTGCAGAAGCGGCGAGCAGGCGAATTCTGCCGCCAGCAGACCGAGCGGAGGCCTGGTCCGGCAGGGCCCTCCCAGCCGCCCTCCCCCGGGGTCAAAACCCACCCCCCGCTGGCAGGCCCGGCCGTGCCCAGCCAGCAGGGCCCAGTCGTGCAGTTCCAGTATCCCTCTGGAGCACGGGCGCAGCCGCCAGCCGCCAGCCGCCAGCCTCCAGCCTCCAGCCGGCTGACCGCGCGGCCCCGCGCATCCCTGCGCGCCGCGTCCGAGGACCCAGGACCTGTACCCGGACGCGCTCGAAAGCCCGCCGGCACGCTCGCGGCTCCTAGGTGCCGACTTCGCACCCCGTCTTGCCCTGGCGAGGGCTGCCCGCGGGGCACTTTCAGCCCAGTTCAACCACAGGCAGACGCGCAGGAGTGATTCAGCGGCACCCAGCCTCCTCTCCGGGAGCGGGGCACTGAGCGACTCCCGCCCGACGCTGGTCCCTTTAAGAAGCCAAGTCGAGCCGCAGCCGCTGTTTGTGTTGCTAATCCCCGGGAGCCCTGTTTTTTCTTTCTTTTTTTTTTTTTCTTAAAAAAAGAAGGAAGAAAAGAGGGGAGGGGGCCGGCAGCTGTCTCTTTAAATGTGATTTCCTTCTATTGTATTTGTATCGTGATCAGGAAAAAGGAAATGAAACCAGAGGCACAGGGAAGCTGAGCGAGAATAGCCCTTCCGCGAGGAGCGAGCGGCGGACGC